TATCTGTGCTCGGCTCGGGTGGGCTTAAGTATTCCTTTATTATATGTTTCTAAAAGGCCCAGAGAACCGCCGACAAAACGCTGTCCCTTGTGATCGATTACAATAATTACTTCAGCCTTTGTCATGGTGTGAAGAGCGTGACCCTTCTGAAATAAAGTCGCCTTGAGCCGGTATAGCGCGGAAGACCTCGCCTGGGAGTTGCTTATGTAGGCCATTTTCTCTTTCCCCCTTCGCGGTGTATTTCTTTTTAATTCGGCCTTTTGCGAAGTTCCACTGCGAATATAAAGTAAGTAGTTTTAATACAATTGCCATTGTTCGAGTTCAGTGTAAGGTTCTCCTGATTACAAGTACAAAAATTTGTAGGAATGCACGGAGGAGGGGTGAGGGTATAACTGGGGGTGCTTGCCAAATCGAAAACCACGAGACTTATTTACAACTTTTTAAGAAAGAGACCAGAGCAGTTATGATAGGTACCTATTTGGACAAGCAGGAACATTCCTAGCTACCCGCTGAAAAGATATTCTTTTAACTTTCAGCGGTTTGTTTCAAAACATTCAATAAGCATCTACATGTACACCGGAAAAGGTTTCAACTGGGCAACAACATGAGCATGATGAAAAAAATATTACTTACCAAGCTTCGCCTTCAGTACCGTTTACATCAGGGCTTATCGAATTCATGGTTCCAAAACAGTGTTTGAGATCACTTCAATTTTTAAATATAAGACTGACAAAAATGTCCACGCGAAACACTTGCGTAAGAGCAGTGTAATAGGAGTTCTTCACAGCACCACAAATAAACCAACATTGAAACAAGCAGTTATTTCATTGGTAACTAGCATTCTAGAAGTGTCATCTGGAGATCTCACCGGAAACGGCAGAGTTGGTGCCGAGCTGGTCAAAGGTCTCAAATCCTCGGAACAAAGTGAGCGCAATCCTTCAGCATGGCCGCGACAATGGACTTTTTCAGAATTTCCACCAAAGGCGTTCAAATCAAAGGGTAAGTTTTGCAGCAGTGGTATTTTCTGCGTAAACTAATTGCCTTACCGCACTTCATGTGAAATTCCTTCAGAAAACAAAGCCTTACTTGGCGCTTCTATCTCCATGGCTTACGCTGTTTAATTTGGATAATTTTCAGATATCACCATTTCAAGGTTAAAGCACCATCTGGGACACCATTTATCGTTAGAAAGGAAGCTTACAACGAGTATGATCCCTTCGCACTGGCATGTCTTATCTCTGTCGAATTGGAACTAATTCCGGAGCCTTTGCGGAAAATGGCCATTTACAGCAAATCAAAGCGAAAAAGTTACACTTTGGAAGATGTGCGAGGGTCTCAGATCGGCAGAATTCAGTATTTTTTAAACAGGGAGCTATCCTACCTTCTGGAGTGTGGCAAGTTTGTCTCTTCTCTCTAAGGATTGTCAACGGAGAACCAACGGTTTCTGTTCGTCCCAACGCAGCCCAAAAGTTCCAAAGAAATAAACAGGCTGGTGGAGGGGCTTACATCCCGGCTACTATTCACGTTGAGGGTCCACGCGAGCACAAAAAGGCTGTGCTCGACAGACTCCGCACGTCCTTAGCGGAGTGCGAGAATGGAGAGCTGATGACAATCGATATCGAAAATTAGAACATAAAATGATTCATGACGTACAAATCCAGAATTAAATGTTGTTTCTCGTTAAATTATTGTCAATTTTGTGTGTATTTTTTACGGTGATGTTGTCGCGTTACAATATGGCCGCCGTGCACATTTGCGTGCACAAGGTTTAGGTCGCCCCAGTTCCTCTCGGCCAAATTTCTTTGTTTTGGTTTTGCCTCGACCAATCATATCCGTCAAGGGACAAAGGTTTCCTCTGAACGGAGGCTGTTTTCGAAAATGAATTTTGTAACCTGAAGATCTAGTTGTCATCCTTCATATTATCGAATACTCAATAGAATCCTGAAGTGGCAAGAACTCAGACGAGTTGCCAGCGTGTATTGAGAAAGCTTATGTTGTTGTAACTTACACACTCCACAAATTCGTACTCCTCGTAATCTTCACATGAAGCGGTGTTAGATCCTGTAGCAAAATAATATTGCAAACACGGCTTAAACACCGACATTTTCCTCCGAGTGCTTGAGAAACGGGGAAAGAATCTTCTCTTGGCCAACGTGTGAAAACCATGGTAACGGTTGATTGACGTCCACCAAAAGGCAGGTTTGAACCGAAGAAAAAAACCCTTGAGGGCGCGTGTTGGTGGTATTCGCTGTAAATAAAAGTTGTGTCTTTTCAATCTTATTTAATATTTCATACTTGTCGTACCATATCTTTTGACTTGAATACCTTTGGTACTCTCGCGCGCAAGATATCTTTTCCAGCCACATATATATTGTTTGCATTTTGTAACCCAAATTGCTCGAATTCCTTCGTTGTTTTTTGTGAATATCATGAAAGACAACCCCTCTTAGAGCAAAAACTCTCGGCTATGCTTATCTTTGAGTTAAAGAAATCGCTGAAAGGTGGAAAAATACGAATGTAATGGATGGTAATATGGTCATCGAGAAATGAAGGTTTTGAAGACCGAGAAAGACCAAAAGTCGTGAATAAACCAACTAAAATAGTCTTAAAGGGCTAGGTAAAAAAGAGTAAACTAGACGAGGTAGCTGTCACAACAGTTAGCAAGCAAATTCCGGGACAAGTTCATGAAAACGAAGGTCGAAGGCCCCTGAGATGGTAGACTGTTCACAGTCCTCTATTTTTCCGTAAGATCATCGAGAACGAGCGCTTTGCGTTACGGGCTGCCGTCTTGCATGAGTGTCAAAACTACTTATGGGGCCGGGAGACTATTTGGGAGGAACCAAGAAAAATAGAGGGACTGTAATAACATCACTGCAGCTCGCGTTCAGGAGGCGTGACAGGAATTTCACGCTTTTACTATTCATTAATAGGACAATTGCACGATGACGATATTTGACTACAACTACCAGAATTCATTTCGTTGTTGCTTTGTTATTTAAATCTGTCAATCCCGCTGAGGATTAAAGAACAATAGCCTTAATTTGCACAAGAAAACAACAAACTCAAGGATTCTGGTAATTGTAGTAAAATGACGTCATCGTGCAATTGTCCTATTACGAAACTCCGCTGGCGATGAAAAACATGCCAGACGCATTTAGCATCGATTACGAGTGTTTACAAATATCTCCTTTCGAAACAGTGATTTTATAATGTTTTTAGGCCATTCCACCAAATAAAATCGGCAAACAGGCACAAGAGAAACATTTTTCTAATCAAATCGCTAAGCATGCTCGCTTCACCACAGACTAAAACGGTTAAACCTCCCGATAAAAGCCAGGCACTTCTGACAGGTCGTCTTTTTTGCGTCGGCGTAGCGTTAAATTTCAATTCGTTTGGCAGAAACTGTGTTACAACATTCCCCTGGCTGGGCTACTTCAAAAGCATGTTGCTTAGGTGATTTATCCGCAAAATAACAAAGATTGGTCGTGTGTTTGCGCAAGATGTACCTAATGGTGTGAAAGCGTGCGTTTTATACAAACGACGACTTGTCAGTGTCGGCAACTTGAACTAAACCCACTGTCAACGCTTACACAAGTTAACATCTATTGTCTAATGACCAATCAAACGCCTGCGTTGCTGGTACAACGCGCTCCGTGAACGCAAGCTGCAGTGATGTTATTACAGTCCTTCTATTTTTCTCGCCCCCCTCCCCCTAGAGCTATAATCCCCGACGCCCGCCCCCTCGGTACATCAAGATGGTAAAATCAAGATGGCCATCGTTAACGGTAAGACGCGCTTTATCTCAACGATCTCACGAAAAAATAGGAGACTGTTAGCAGTCTACTGAGATGGCACAATATAGCTATGCTCAGTCCGCCAAGCAACGCTCAGTTTTTGTCAAATTTGTAAGGAAGTACAAAAGCCTCACTGCGGAAAGGCTTTTTTGGATGAATGCCCAATTTTTTTCCGCTGCCTAATCTGAAAAAAAAGATCTTGTTGGGGTTCGAATTAAGTGGCTACTGCGTACCAGGTGAAAAAAAGGCTAAAAATGGATCATCTGGGGCTCTACACGCTACATGACGTATCCCACTCCATGCCTCAACAAACAATCAAAGGCCAAGGGGGCATACCGGTAACTGAAATTCTAAATACATATACTCGATAGAACCTGTTACCATAAACATCTCTTTGAAACTTCATCTGAAACTAATAAAAGTGTTGATCAAAAGGAAAATTAGAGGAACGAACTTTGGGACACCCTGACATGTAGAGCATAAGAGAATACATCATCTGATTATAATATCAGTGACGGAAGTATAAACTAGAATTTAAATGGTGAATAATAAACAAACAACCGACGAGCTTAACATGAGTATTTTCTTATCACGATGCAACCATTCCGTCAACGCATTAATTGTCACATTGATCACACAAACACGAAGTTTATATTTATTTTGTAGTTTTCAAATAGCTCGCTTTCAAATATCTAGCTCCGTTATGATGGCCCGGGCAGCAATTTTTTAAAATGATACAAAAAATACTGTGGGGTTGGGTGGTGATGGAGCGAAACTCTACACGTATCTTTTTTTAGTAAAGTCCAACTAGTGGTCCATTATCAATGCTGCGTTCTGATTGGTTGAGCTTCTACTAGGCTGTACGGTTATAGCCTACTAGTAGCGAAAAGCGCCGGCTTTGAAAACCAAAACAATGGTGACTGAATCGCGTTTTGCTAGCTTAAGTTGTTTTGTCGCGATATTTTTTACCAACTAGTTGGATTTTACTAAAACAATTATTCCTCTCGCCCTCATGGGCTATTCACTCAGACCCCATTCGGGCTCGAGAAATACAGTAATTGTTAATTATTATACAGTGTCAGGTCCCCCCTGTACAGTGTATATAGATACTGAGATATTCTCACTGAAAAGATATGAAAAATCTTCATACGCAAATGAGTTCTAACCAATCAGAGGAGCGAACGATATTTTTCACACGTGCAAAAAAAAAATTGAAACGTCCAATCATAATCGCGAAAGATCTTTTTTTCAATTGTGAGAAAAATGATACGTCCAATCAAAAGCCACAGAGGTATGTGAGTTTCGCCCCAAAATTCCTGCCTTCTATACGCTCTTGCAGCTTGCAGCGCCCTCGCTTTGCGAGTTGCTTCGCAGATATTCCACGAGAAAAGACAATTAAGTAGAGTTTTTTTCGTGGAAAAGTGAAAAACATCTCGGAAATTAGATTGGAATAGTTGTGTATATTTCACTATCTTTAAGGAAAATTGAAGAGAGCCGGCAAATCAACAACGAAAAGGAAAAAACAGAACGTGACGTTAGCTCATATTTGTCCTTTTTTTCGGAGCTAAGTTTATATGCTTCTGTTTATATTCAAAGAAGTTATTTTAATTAAAATCTCTCTTTTTTAATTGTGCATTCAGAAAAAAAAGTTAAAATTACTTTTAATTCGTGGACTACTTCACATCCTTACCCTCATTACATTTTCACCAGGCGTTTCTTAAAGCCTTTTTTGTATTAAATATACCTTGTTTTCTTTGTCAGTTCGGGGTGTGTAGCGGCATATTTGGGCAAATTATTACCTTGGAAAAATTTCAATTAAAAGGCTGGCAAAATGATGAATGTCTCAATATGTATAATGTATAATAAAGATAATACCACACGGAAAGTACTTTGTAGGGTACTTACACACTCGCTTGTTCAGTAACCGATCGAGTCAGCGCAGCAAATGAGGAGATTGAGAAAAACCTTTTGAATTTTAAGCAAGAGAAAAAATACCTTGGTCCCAGAGGTTTTTCTTGATTTTTCTTCGCGAAAGAGATCAACAGGAAGCCGCAAAGCGGCGACAACGAGTCGCGAAAGCGACGAGGAGAGAGAGAAAAACCTCTGGTTACCTTGGTCTCGAATCTCACTTTCATGCAGACGACAGCTGTCAAACGCGTCAAATTGCTAATGAAAGGAGCGACCAATGGCAACTTAGCAAACATGTGCCTTTCAGCCGCTATTTTTGTAAGTGGGGGTAGATCTGGGGAAATTATGTGATGAACAAACCATCTCCACTTGGGTGGTAAAGAGTGATTTGTTAATCGGGGTCAAGCTAAAGCATGTGTTAACGATGGGCGACAAGAGTCAAGGAATAAGAAGACCACTTTATAAAGAAACCGACATTGTTCCAAACGACTGCTGCAGGATTTACAGAATTTCTGTAAAAGTAAGTGGCCGATCTAAAATCAACTTTTTGGGTATAATAACAAGGATGTTTCACAAACCAGGGGCGGATCCAGGATTTTTTTTTAGGAGGGGGTGTACTCGTCTCTTGCTCTACTTCAACACCAATAAGCCACATAGTTTTTTTTTTTTGGCAGAAT